CGCACGTGCACTCTGGTATTTCTCCTTTTGTTTTTTTTTTTTTTTTTCGTGACGCGCACTTTTCGAAGGCGCGCACTTTGAACGCGCACCACACATCACATACGCCCCCCTTTTATTCAAGTTTTTTTTTTTTTTTTTAGAAAAAAAAACTGCCGATGAGTGCGCGTTCTGCACTACGTCACAATTAAACCACATATTTGCACCACGCAGTTCAACACATCACCGGGCTACAGTTCGCTACATCGTCCAAATGTCCACACTTAAACTTTAGATTCACCCAATTGCATTTAAAAGTTCTGAAACCCGGAATAAACCTTTTTACTACAAAATCGACTATGGACAAAGCTACTTGTGTCCGCATCTAAAAGTCGAAGTCCAGAAAGAGCTACCGGTTTTCTAACCCTACACTCAGGTTATCGCGTCCCAAACCAGACGCACTGCCCTTCTCGCACGTTTCGAAAGTAACTGTGGCAAACATGCTTTTATGCACTTTCGCTGAAACGCGTGTCTGCGCCCCCGCCGGCCACATGAACGCTTACCGGTCACAGAGGAACAGGGCGCGGTCTCGAGCCGTCGGCGTCGACACGAAACGCACTGAGACACGAATGTCCAAATGCCACAATCTCTCACACAAATGCTTTCTTTTAATTCACCATCTAATGAACACAAGCTCGGGGTGCCCTCAGCAAGCCCAAACGCTCCGACAAGCGTGTGAGGTTCCTGGATTCTTGAGAAGGGATGCCGTTGTGCTCGGTCATTATACAGCTCATCTTGAGTGGACTTAATTATAGGTTCAAAACCAATCACGTTCTCAGGTTCAAGACCCTGTCTGGCATTCTCCGTACCTATCATCGAGCCCACCTCCGATTCGATACTGTTTATTTTGAAGAGTGCTTCAGCACTCCCATCGTGTTTTCTCGGACAAATAGCAGTTACGCTATCCTGTGAACTAGAATCCCCTCTCTCTCTGAGTGAGATATACGTATGGTCTAGGACCATTGACGTGGTGCCTGCTGCTACCTCTGTCGGTACAAAACAATCAGTGGCCACTATATCAGAGCCTTCATGGCATTCGCTGCCATCTTCCCAATGACGTTCTAGCGCTCCTTCCATGGAGCTATTGAGAGGTAGCCCTACCCCTTCCCGAAATGTGCTCGGCCTCTGAGACGTTCTGATACACACCTCATTCTGAATGGAGCTTCTTCGTTCCCTGCTATCGAAGCTTTGCTCCACAACATTTTCCACAGCTTCTAGGTCGCCCATATCCAGGCGCTCTTCTTCATAGGTGCTTGGCCTCTCAGAGGTCCCCAAGCAGCTAACGGAAGTACTATGTTCCCAGCCAGAGAAGCTTTCCGTCGCTTCAACAAACTCCTCATGACTCCTGCCTTCTTGGCTGTCCACCTCTCTGCCTTCCTCTATCTGAGCTTCTCGCTCCGAAGTAAGGCTGTCGCGAGGCTCGAGGCCAACCTTGCAGGAATCGACTTCCCTCCAGCAAACGCTGCTATCGGAGCAAACATTCACCGCTTGCTCGACCTTCTGCATCGCCAGCTGCCCCCTTTTCGCCATCGCAAGCTCGAGTCGCCGCTCGAAGTCCACCCTCTCTAATTGGAGCTGCTGCTTCAGTATGCGTGTCTGACGCTCTAGCAACACTTTATTTTCACGCGTTACGCGCTCTAGCTCCTCCTTCTTAGCTCTAAGCACCAATTCAAGCTTTTCCTTCGCCGCCTTTCGTTCTGCAGCCCGTTGCTCACGCTCCCTCTCCATCCGCTCCTCGTACCATACTCTAAACTCCGCTCCCGTCAGTCCCATTTTATCCGCCAACTCAATTAACTCCCACGTGTTCGTCATCGTGTTAACCGCGTCAAAAAATCTACTGGAAAAACAAACGACTTTGTCCTGTCGCGGACGCCAATTTGTGATGCGGGTTCTTGTTGCTGATTTGTTTTTCTCCCGGGCTGAGCCCCGGAGAGTTTTTCTTATAAGGACAAAGCCGTTCGGTTTCCAAGAAACACACAAAAAGTTTAATTGAAAAGTAAAAAGGCAAAGATTCCTCACAAAACAAAACACTTAATAAACAGTTGACTGGACATGACGAAACACATCTGTAAACACCCAACAAGAACGTTCAAAGTCAGTAACTAAACCTAACGTTCGAAAGGGGCTGAGTGATGGGAGTAGCGCAAGAGTATCGGTGCAGTCTCACCCACAAGTTGGTTTTCGGCGGTGATGAGAAACCGGAACGCCGTGACTCCTGCGTCAGTGCGTGGGCTGGACGAGGACGAGGGAACGCTGGCTGCTGGCGACACGTCGAAAAGCCCTACCAAATCGTGATGGTTTCGGCTTGAGGAGCGTGGACACGTCGGAGACGGGAGAACGCAGGCTGGTGGCGACGCGTCCGGGAACTAGGGTCGACCTAGTCAAGCAGCTGGGCGCACAGCTCGGGCCCGGAGCCCGACGGCTGTAGCTCGCCTGCCGGAACCAAAGTCCGCAGGCCCTGGAAAGGAGTTCAGGACCGGATGGCCACGGTCCTTTGGAGCGGGAACCCGACAGCAGGAGGCCCCGGCCGGTGGAAGTCCTGTAGGCTCGGGTCCGGAACCCAACGGCCCATCTTCAGCGCCCGGTCCGGTGACGACCTTCCGCTTGCACTCCTGCCTCGAATTCCCCTTGCTCTGGTCTGCTCAGGCTCCTGCTTCAGCTCTGGCCCACTTGTCTCGTTCTCATTGGAGATACTGCTGTTTCGTGGTGTCAAGCCATTGGGCCTTGAAATCTCCGTGTTCGCTGCCCATTGGATGTTTTACCTTTTGTTTACTTCACGTCCTGCCACGCATCCTCGTGCTTGACGCTCTTTAACGTCGTCATTCTTGTTTAAGCAGCACCGCACGTGCACTCTGGTATTTCTCCTTTTGTTTTTTTTTTTTTTTTTTTTTCGTGACGCGCACTTTTCGAAGGCGCGCACTTTGAACGCGCACCACACATCACAGCCATCTGTTTCTTAACCAAGTAATATCACGTTTCCTGCTCATTAGAGACCAGAGAGACTCGTTTTTACGTTCTTTATTTCAAACAACGCTGTTACACCACATGCCTGACTTCTTTGTATCTTCAGACAGGTGAGAACGACACACCTTGTCACCGTTCTTGCGCGAAGTTGTGTTCTCACATCGTTTCTTAAGGGCGAGGTTTTCGATAGATTACCTAACTAATGTGAAAAGAAAGCGCCTTATGAAAGACCTAATACAGAATGTTTTTCCTGTGCCCCTGTACCATTCAAGGTATGAAAACTCATATTATCAAGACGTACTAAAGCGAGTGAAAAACATGTGTATACCACCAAATGTGAAAACCTTCTTTTTTAAACTTCATACGGGAACCTTGCCAGTAAAAACGTGGCTTGAAGAGAGAGGGATGTATGTACCATGGGGAAGCAGCTGTCTCCTGTGTAACAAACCTGAGACCTTTGAACATGTGTTTATTGATCGTAAGAACGCTGTTCTCTTTTGGGACATTTTACAGAGGACTTTAAAAAAAAGATTTACCTCTTACTTCATATGGAATTCGTTTTTTGTCTTGTGATAGTTCTGTGCAAAATTCGGATGTTACATTTTAACTTGGTCTTCATTCGGTTTGGCGTAGTATGCTATCGTACAGACGCTGTGATGTGAGAGTTCTATCCGTCAATGAGTGTTTCGTGGAAGCTGTTATAAAAGTGCCAGATGTGTATAAGACTACCAACTGTGTTCAAGATGTAATATCTTTGTTTGACGCGTTATCACGCATGAAACACGTGTGATACTGATTGTCATATTAGCTTGACCTGTAGTCAAGAAGGCAATAAATAAAAAAAACTGTGGTAGCTCTGTGGTTAGAGCATCGAACGCGTTATTCGAAGGTCGTAGGTTCGATTCCTGCTCACGGCTGGTTATTTTTTTATCCACTTTTCTTTCTTCTTATTTACATTCCACTGGTTCTAATAACTTCCCCTGTACATTCCTTGGCATTATTGTCTGTTAGATCTCATTAATATTGTGTTAAAACACGGAAAAATGAGCCCTTAGGTATACACTTTTTTCCCTTTTATATATATATATATATATATATATATATATATATATATATATATATATATATATATATATATATATATATATATATATATTTATATATAATAAACTTTGAGAATAGTGCAAGGGAAACAAAACAATTAGTAATTTATTTATTTATTTATTTATTTATTTATTTATTCTTAAGAGTGTAGGCTGGTGGTCCAGCCTTCTTCGGAGGATGTAAGCGAAATGGCACAACCCGTAGCAGAGTGCCGCCGCCACAGTTAGGGGCCACAAAAAAAGAAAAAAAGAAAAATAGAACTAACGAGGCAATCGACAGACAACAAAACGAAAAAGAAGAAGGGAACGACGGAGAGCCATCAGAAGTGGGCGGGTAATTCATGTATTGTTATGACGGATACATGAGATGCGCCGCCAGAAAAAACGACCAACGAAAGAGGGAAAATTGAAGAATATTGACGCTTTCTCGCACCCCACACATTGGTTCAGTTAAAAGTTCAGGTGGTTCAGCGGCTGGCCCGCTGCGTTGGACTGTACACACAAGAAGATACATACGACCTGCTGGCAAGGGCAGCTGGCCTCACGTGGTGCTTGATTTCTCGTAAGTCGCTAATCAAGATTAGTAAGCATTTTGTGTCAATATCTAAATCTTCGACAGTTTCTCTCTTAAGAAGCTGATACGGTTGTCATGCTGTAGGTGAAACGAAATGTATTTGTGACAGCCATCAACAGCAAACTTCAAAAAGAATATTCCTCTCTTGGTTGAAACTCTTTCAGCATAACTGCTGGGGCACTTTTTTTATACTTTTCATAAATTAAAGTTTTATAGGCATCCTACAACTTAACATATCACGAAGATACCTCGCGTGCTAAATGATTCCGCATCACCTGTAGACTAGCAAAACTGCACTAAAAGAAGGAAGTGAGTCAACTTACAAAAAATTACCGTGAGGGAGATAGCTACCACAAGCGTGACGAAGAAGCTGATGACCGGAATCCACATGTAAGACACGTGGTACAAATCGTATACTCCACTGCAAAACAGGAAAGGAAGCTTTTACTTAAACGGGCACAACACCACTGTCGTGATGGCTGTAATTTATGCACATAAAGGCATTGCAGGATGACAACACATTGTTGAATGCACAAATAGGATTACCATCAGGGCTGTCAGGCCGTTTTACAGAATGTCCTTCAAGCTAAGGTGCCTCATGTGCACGCACATTGCCTCTCTCTCTCTCTTTGTGTGTGTGTGTGTGTGCGTGTGTGTGTGTGTGTGTGTGTGTGTGTGTGTGTGTGTGTGTGTGTGTGTGTGTGTGTGTGTGTTGTAGCCGTAGCTAATATCTTCGTATGTTTAAGCCGAATCGATGTAATAGTACATTCAATGTGTGCTCTAACATTAAAAGATTAGTGATGGCCGTGAAAGTTGTCTTTTTTTATTGTCTATAAATAAGAATTCAGTTTATTCCCTCAAGATAAGAAGTCTGCAGACCACCGCCAAGAAAGTGTTATAGTTTAGCTGAAAATTCTTGCATTCTTATTATGCACAGTTGACTATAAAACTAGTGATTTTCAGGACATCTCCGGAGTTTCTGCGAGAGTACGTTTACCAATACCAAAATATGACAGGGTACGCGAATATTCAGAACAACGTTTATAAACAATAAACATGGGTGGAATCAGTAAAGGGGCTGAAATCAACACAAGATCAACGCCACCTTCCAGTTATCAGGGACTCCCTTTTTTTTGTGCAATTTTTTAAGCATACAAACATGATAGCTAATAAAAACTTCACAAGTTCTGGGCTGCAAAGGGTGAGCTAAGGACAGGTACAATTCATTCATAAAATTATCAGACAGAAATCAGGAGGTAATGATCAAAGACTCGCATTGCCTCATTTATGCTGGGAAAGCAGGTTTGTGCTGCATCGTAGCACGCTTCTCGCTGTACTCGATTTTCTTGAAAGGAAAAAAAAATGCATGCTTCGATCACGTTCACGCTATAAATGATAAAGATTGACTGTAGAAAATATTTGTGCCATCAAGTACCTCTTTCATGGGTGCTGTCAGAGGGGAAAAAATAAAAAAACCACTTGTCTGCGCAACTGACTTGCTGGTTGCTTAAGTTTTCGTAAAGAATGAAGTTCATGCAATGGCTGCGTGTCGTCGTAGTGAGGGACAAGTTGGCTGTTACTGGCCTCCTAATGCTATGACATCATCCCTTAAGTGACCTTGACTCACCCTGAGAAGTAACTCCGCTGAACAGGAACACTGGCCGTGTAGTTGAAGGCGCACTCCTCAAGAGTGGTGCGGGCGCCACTGGGCTTGGCAGGGTACAGAAGACGTCCGACAGCCACCCACAATGCCAACCCAAAGCCCGTAAACATTGATGACATAGCGATCTGCAGGGGTATTTGACAAATAGGCGAGAAAATTGCATGGCGTATTAGACTATGGCAGTGCAATAAAACATACCAGACGCATTTACTTTTGACCAAGATGCTATGCTTTCATCGGTGAAATCCTAACACCAAAATAAAACTCTGTAAGTTGTTTTCAGGTTCATGTGTCACGCTACATTCCCTTTAACTGCACTTTACATAATGAAAACGCGTACGAGATCTAGTGGTAAGTGACGTGAATGATACCACGTGGATGATAACATCACCAGAAATCTAAGAATGTAGTGTAACGTATGATACTGCGTCACGTGGGAAAGAAGGTTTTGGGTTATTCGCCGAGAAATCTTATTGTGCTGGCCAATGTGTTTACAGTCTGGTTCGGCGCCGGTGAAAGCGGTGTGTTCAGGTTCTAAAACAGTCTTTTTATGTTTCACTAAGTAAATTATCGGATTCTAGTCATGTCTTCGTATCTTCATTGTCGTATTCTATTTATTTTTCTTATATACGTGAACAGATACTAGCTCCACAGACATTTCTCTAGTTGTGAATAATGTACTCAACAGCAAAAGTTTGCAGGACGCAGAATTTTCGATAAAGCTGAATTCCCGATTTGTCTGCGAATATAATTTTGAAGTAAATGCCCATACTGCACTTCGCATTCCGACCTATACAGTCACCAGCTTTATTACAAGCATTTAGTACTGATATAGCAAAAAGTCGAATTTTTTGTAGATCGAACATGCTCCAAAGTTTTTCTGTAGATGGTACAATAATGATAGATGCCCTGGTGGGTCGTACAACACTGAAT